TCCCCCTCCCCTTCCTCCCCGGACCAGCGGAGTCTTGCATTTCACCCCCGCCTTAAACAATGTAGAGGTGCTGTGACTATGACTGATGGTCAGCCGGGGAATGTGTGGACATTCTCGGTGCCGGTCCCTGCGCATTCTGGGTCGTGGCTGAGTTGCTCGGGGCCGCGCAGGGGGAGCAGGGAATTGCATCCGCATCCAAACCGGCTGCTCCTCACACAGCGTTCGTGGCACAGGCTGTCACGCGGAGCAGAGCCTCGTCTCCAGGGAGCACCCAGGGGACAACAAGAGGACTTGAGAGTGTCCTCTGATGTGTCACGACAGGGCCCCTACTTGCGTGTGCAGGCAGGAGGGGTTTTTGTACAGCTCACCTTGTCACGCTCTCGCTGTGCCTCCTGCAGGGCGCAGTGATACACCGCTGTGTCTGCCCGCTCCAGGGCGGTGATCTTCATCTCTGTGGAGGTGTCATCCGTCTCAGAAGAAAACCGGTCCCGGGCGAAGTCTGCAGTGGAGCTGGCTGATTTGGCTGTCTTCGCTCCTCTATAGAGCAGGTACTGCAGGGTGCGGTTCGGGTACTGGCAGTACCAGTACAGATAGGAAGCGGCATTATAGCTGGTATTGTAGGAACATCTGAGTGTCACCGTGCCTCCTCCTGCTGCAGACACCTGAGCTGCCGCGGACTGGATGGATTCAGCCGAAGCAGCCCCTGCCAAGCAATCAGGAACAAAGGGGATAGACACGGTGAATGCTCAGGCCTTGGAAGGGGATGATCAGGCAGACTTTGGGGTGAGGCAGTTGTCAGGACAGAGGGGGAAAGGGAAAGTTGCGGCAATACAGGGACAGCAGAGGGCGGTGAGTGAAGCGGGAGACATGCGTTGTGTCTCAGGAAGCGAAGGAGAGAAACCATCAGCAACTGGACAGGCGTGAGGACAAGGCTGAACGCTTCATTACCTGGGGAGAGAGTAACTACTAAAAGGCTCAGGAGCAAACGCATCTCCACGGCCGAACCACAGCGCATCCCGCTTCTAGACTCTGACACAACCCTGACACGGAGGTAGGAGGATCCGCGGTGACTGCTATATCCTGGCCCAGGTCCCTCTGACACTTCCCGGGGGAAGGCAGGTGCTCTTTTCTAAACCTGCCCGCTCTCCACTTCCCCCCACAGGGAACCCGGGCAGGCGGGGTTTGCTCCGGCGCTGCAGTGGAGGCGCTTTTTCTCTCCCCGTGCATTAACCCGAGGAAGGGACGCTTAACCCGACTGGCTTTTGTGTTTGCCAAGGAATAAGGTTCGGCCGCCAAGAGACTTGTTAGGCCTCCTCCTCCTGTGGTGCGGTGTGCACGGATAAGAGGCGAGCCGGACAGAGAGGTGGAACTGGAGAGTAGCGACCAGAAGAGAGAAAACCTGCCGACAGACAGACAGGTGTCAGGGATCGCACTGCGCTCCCCCATTTGCAGCCCGCCCCAGATCCGCGGACTTCACTTCCAGTTGTACTGGTGTTACATATATGAAATCTTCGTGTGTCCCCTGTCCCGCCAGTGTCCGCTCGTGGATACTCTGGTACCACATTTACCTGCTGAGCTGTTTTCTTTTTGGTTTCTTTTTTGTTCGTGTTTGTCTCGTTGGGGATTTTTCTTTGTTCTTTTTCGTCTTTTATCTAGAA